TTATTTATATATATAATATATATATAAATATATTATTTAATTACTATTTAATTACTATCACTTGAATTCCATTTGAACTTGCTTTATTGATATGGCAAATATATTGATAGAGCATTTATAATGTTTACATTAATTGGAACATATGAAAGCTAGTTACATTTTTGTAATGATAACAAGTAACAATAAAAAAAAATTATAGTAATAATAATAATAATAATAAACAGTATTTAACAATCAACATTTTAAAAGTCAAATTTATTTATTTATTTATTTATTTATTTATTTATTTATTTATTTATTTATTTATTATTTATTTATTTATAACATATATAATTTACATCAAAACAACATAAAATACCCTACAATATCATACAACACATAAGACATACAACGAATATTGTCAATTACACAATTCAAATATTCGTCAATTAATAAATATTAGAAGAAAAAATATACAAGATGGAAAGACGATGGTTTCAGCATGAAAAACATTAATGATTATATTTTAATCTACAAATTCATATATTTATTAATATTATTACAAACACATTACACACAGAGAGACAGACACACACAGATGAAATTTTGAAAAATTGGTTTATGCAGTAGAATTCATTTATAACAATTCTCTCTTCCTCTCTCTCTCTCTCTCTCTCTCTGTGCGTGTGCGCATGTGCCTGAGCGAGTGTGTGGTGAGCGAGTGTTGGGAAAGTGCGGTGAGTTTGAATGGTTCTCTTTCTAACTTTTCTTTCTTTGTTTGTTGTTTGTATACGTGTGCTGTTGGTTAGTGTTTGTGAGTGTAGTGAGTTTACTCCCGGCGTGTTTTGTTGCCGGGAGGTATGGCGTCGTCAGGAGACGCAGTTTGTGAAAGTTTGACTCGGCGTCATGGAATTAAAATCATGTGTAAGGCCAGTGTGGAAGATTGTATTCTAGCGGTTGGCGAAGTAGTGGGATGTTCATCGGTGGTTTCAGCTTCTAGGATGAACAATGCGGTTGTTTTGTTTTTGAACACGATAGAAAAAACTAATGAGATTGTGCAAAAAGGAGTGGTGATAAATGATGAACTCATACCTGTACTTCCTCTTAGTAGTCCATCCAGGAAAATTATTGTGTCAAACATACCTCCGTTTGTTTCCGATGCATGCATTGCAAAAGAATTATCTTCTTTTGGCAAATTAGTTTCACCGATCAGGAAAATTGCTCTTGGGTGTAAATCACCCATGCTTAAACATGTGATGTCTTTTAGAAGACAAGTTTATATGATTCTGAAAGACAACAATGACGAATTAAACCTATCGTTTAATGTCAAAGTAGATGGGTTCAATTACACCATTTACGCAACATCCGAGAGCATAATGAAGTGCTTCGGGTGCGGAAAAATTGGGCATTTAATTCGATCGTGTACAAGTGGAGGTGAGACAGGTCAGGGAGACGTACAAGGCGAGTCTTCTGCGGCTGCGTCTGTCGCGGTAGATGCCGCTGCACCTGCGGCTGATGCTGCGGTCTCTGAGGAGAGAGGCGGGGGAGGTGCGGTGGCTCCTACTATGGCAGAGGTAGTAGCAGGCTCGTCTGCTGTTCAAACCTCAATTAATTCTAAGGATGACACAAGTAGCCAAAAGGCAACTTTTTCCACAGCTGGAACAGCTAAGGAAAGTGCAGGTGAAGGGATAGTGGAAATGGAAATTGAACCAGAGCAAATCTTTAAAATTCCTAATAAAAGAAAAAAAGTCAGTGAAAACAAAATGATCAAACAAGCAAAAAAAGACAAGAGTAAGGCTGATTATATAATATCAGATAACGATGCTGATTCTTCTGATTCCAGTTCTTCAGTTTATTCCTTTTCATCGCAAAATGAAAGTGAAAGTCAAACACAAAGATATACGGCTGAGGGAATCAAGAAATTTCTGAGGGAAACAAAATTTTTACCAAACGTGGAGGCTGAGGATTATTTTGAAGATGTTTCTGCTTTCGTGAAAGATGTAAAGATTCTGACTAGAGAAGGTGCATTCATAGACACAGAGGTTTATCGTCTAAGGAAATTAGTGGGTAAAGTAAAGAAAAAAAACCTCCTTAATGATGAAAAACCAGATTTGGTGTAATTTGTTCTTGGTTAAGGTTGCAGTATTTCTGATTGTTTCTTTTATTTTTAAAACATCATTTACTATGAGGGTGTTTAACATTGGAACTCTCAATTTAAATGGTGCTAGAGACAGTCAGAAAAGAATGTGTTTATTTGAATTCATAAAAATGAAACGCCTAGATGTCACGTTTATTCAAGAATCACATAGTGACAATCTTAATGAAATAAACTGGAAGAAAGATTGGGATGGTCAGATTTTTATGAGCCATTTGGCTTACAACAGTGGAGGAGTAGCTGTTTTGTTTTCTAAGACAGTGTCTCCACTGTCTGTTGAAACAGAAGAAATAGTTAAAGGCCGTTTTTTGAAAGTCAAAGTCAAGTTTGAACATGCAACAATGGTGTTTTTAAATATTTATGCTCCTAATAAAGGAGCTGAAAGAATAATTTTTTTAAAGAAGTTTTGTGATGTTATCAATAATGTAGATTCAGAAGATTTATTGTTTTTAGGTGGAGATTTTAATTGCACAGAAAATGATAAAATGGATAGAAATCATTTAGAACCACATAATGCTTCACAAAAAGAAATGAAGAATTTAGTACAAGTTTGTGATTTATGTGATGTGTGGAGAAATGTACATTTAAATGATAGACAATATACTTGGGTACATAGCAAAGATAACCAAATTTCTATGGCAAGACTTGACAGGTTCTATATGTTTAAGTTTCAAATAAATTATGTCAAAGATTGTCGTATAATTCCTGTTGGGTTTTCTGACCACTGTGCGGTTATTTGTAAGATTTTTGTCAATTCGGTGAAAGTAAAAAGTGCATACTGGCACTTTAATACATCACTTTTAAATGATGAAAATTTTAAAGAATTTTTTTCTGTTTTTTGGGAAAATTTTAAAAAACAAAAACAAATGTATTCTTCACTGCAACAATGGTGGGATTGCGGGAAAATACAAATTAAACAGTTATGTAAAGAGTACACTTTTAATGTTACTAAAGAAACAATGCGAGCAATGAAAGAGTTAGAAAAAAGTATAACAGAACTTTTAAATACAACAGCTTCTACAAATAATAGCACTGATTTTGAAGAAAGTAAAACTAAAAAAGATTTACTTGCAGATTTATTGAATGTAAAAGCAAAGGGTGCTTTAATTCGTTCTCGGTTTCAAAATATTTCAGAAATGGATGCACCTTCAAAATTTTTCTTCAATTTGGAAAAAAAGAATGGAAAAAGCCGATTAATACATTCACTAAAGTCTGAAACAGGAGAAGATATTACAGATTCTAGTAAGATTCGCAAATATGCAGTTAATTTTTATTCATCTTTATATAAATGTGAAGTATTACAGAGGGATGTTGAAAACTCAGTTTTTTTTGAAAATCTCTCTAAAGTTGATGATGAATCCAATGCAATGCTTGAGCTGCCTATATCACAAGATGAATTATATACAGTAATGATGAGCATGGAAAATGGCAAATCGCCTGGCATTGATGGAATTCCTGTTGATTTTTATAAAGTTTTATGGCCAGTGATTGGTGAAGATTTGTTTTTAGTTTTAAATGACAGTTTAAATAAAGGATCATTGCCTTTGAGTTGTAGAAGAGCAGTTATTACTCTTTTACCCAAAAAAGGAGATCTTCAAAAAATAGGTAACTGGAGACCTGTGTCACTTTTGTGTTCAGATTATAAAATTTTATCAAAGGCTTTAGCTGTAAGACTAAGTAAAGTACTGGACCAAATTATACAGCCTAATCAAAATTACTCTATACCAAATAGATCAATTTTTGATAATATTTTTTTAATTAGGGATGCGTTAGAAGTTGCTAAATTATTTGGCATTAATTGTGGATTGATCTCATTAGATCAAGAGAAAGCTTTTGATCGTGTTGAACATGAGTATTTGAAAAAAGTTTTAAAGGTTTTTGGTTTTAGTACTCATTTTATAAAAATGATTGAGGTAATGTATAGTAACATTCAAAGTGTACTCAAAATCAATGGTGGTTTAAGCGCTCCTTTTGATGTACAGAGAGGTGTTAGACAGGGTTGTGCTATGTCAGGAATGTTATATTCCATTGCCATTGAACCTCTTCTACACAGAATAAGAGCGGAATTAAAAGGTTTTTCTATACCCCACTGTAATGCTCAAGTGCAACTGTGATGGCCAGTGTGGTGGCCACACATTGAGAGTGAGGCATGCACACACACACACACACACACACACGTTATACTTATTCATTTAAGATTATTTATTGGTCACAATTTCAGTTATTGTGTTTATACATTTTCGTTTCATTCATATCTGATTTAAATAAGACTCATACACTTTCAGTTTCTCATTACCTTTCTTTATTTTCCACAGTACATTTATTACTATTTTGGGTGCACACAAAATCGGTTATCTGTACTGTATGTTTTGTTAATTTAGTTTTCTTTTGAGTTTAAGTTACCGTGCTGCAGTGCCGACGAGGAACAGAGTTTCCGGGTGTGGTCCGCCCAAGTAAAGGTCCGACGTGCCGCGAGATGCCGTCTTTTGGTTCCGCCTGCAGATACCATTGGCTTAATGGCTTGGAGGGAGAGCTCATGTTTGGTTTAGGTTCAATAATGATTTACAATGTTTGTTTATTCAGATTTATATTTAGCTTTGCCTTATTTATAATTTATTTAACTTATATTTAGATTTGTATTTAGATGTTTGGCTTAGTTTATTGTATTTGTAAATTGTATGTTTTTGTCTCCCCCTTCTTGTTTAATGTGGACTAGTCCCTGTGCTATAAATGTGGTCTGTCTTGTCATTTCATGGAGTTCTGTTTTTGGTTTAGACATGATTTGTTTGGTTTGAACTCAGTTTGTTTTCCTTGTTTAGTTTATTGTTCTTTCAATTGATTTAATTATTTAATTAATTTATATTTGAACTTTTTGTGAACCTTTTTGACTTTATTAAAAATAATTATTTTTGAAAATCTTCTTTTTTGTATGCCCCTTACTGTACGTGCTGGCTCGGTCCCTCACAAGTGGTGTCAGAAGTGGGATTTGCCAGTAGGGGGCATAGTTTTTTTCTTTGGTGAACTTTCTGGGCCATGAACCGAGGAGGACGGAGAGGAGCCCCAAAGGCTGTTTCAGTGGAGCAACTGGATGAAGTTGCACAAGAGCTGAAGGATGAAGAGTTACAGGAGGTGAGAGAATTTGATGTGGAGACTGAATGCACTGAACCAACAATAGCTGACTTGACAGGCTTGTTTAGAGCTCACATGGCAAAAATGGAGGCTCAGGAAGCACAAAGGATGGCAGAGCTGGCCCAGCAGGAACGCCGATTCAAAGCTCTCCATCATCAGTTTGGCCTGTTGCAGCTGGAGGTGCAGGCTCGCACAACTCCTGTTCCAAATACTTTGGTAGCATCTCAAGATGATTTGGATCACCCAGATGGGGGTGCTGGTCCAAGTAGGCCATTATCTCAGTCAAGTACCTGTCGGAGAGAGGGAGCTGAAGCCCGTGATACAGGTCAGTGCCAACTTAAAGAGCCTAAATTGGAAAAGTTGTCTGATGGTGATGATGTTGAGCATTTCCTAATTACTTTTGAGAGAATGGCAGCAGTTTGCCGATGGCCAAAAGAGGAGTGGGTATTTCATCTGATTCCCCTTCTGACGGGTAAGGCCCGGGCTGCTTATGTTCACATGGATGTTGATGAATCTTTGAATTATGATGAACTTAAATCTGCAGTATTAAGGAAATATGACATCAGTCGAGAAACCTACAGGCAGAGGTTTCGGTCTCTTGAAGTAGAACACCTTGAAAGCCCTAAAGAACTATATGTGAGGTTAAAAGAACTGTATGGTAAATGGATGCAGCCAAAAAGTAAGTCTATTGAAGAAATTGGTGAAGTGATCATTCTTGAACAATACTTGAGAATGTTGTCTCCAGAGCTACAGGTGTGGGTACGAGAACATGATCCACAGTCGGCTTCACAAGCGGCAACACTGGCAGATGTGTTTGTGGCAGCACGTCAGAGAAATCAGTCCTGGTGGTGGAAATCCAGCCGAGATGACCGGAGAGCAAATCCTCCACAGCAGTCTATGAGAAACTTCCCTGGTGCTGGTAAGCCTCCTGGAGGAGGGCCTGCATTTGTCAATGCTCCTAAGAATTATAGGAAAATGCCAATATGTTACCTATGTAATCAAGAAGGTCATACCAAGCCCATGTGCCCTAGAAATGTAATCAAGAATACTCACCTGTGTTATGTGCCCAGGCATCTTGCAAAGCCAGCCCCTAAAGCTGAACGCTCACCAGCAAGCACCACTGTTGAGTTTAATGGAAAGGAAATGATTGCTTTGGTTGATACCGGGAGTGATCAGACTTTGGTACACATGAAGTGCATTTCTCCAGCCCTCCTTCGCAACACCAACCTGAAGGCTGTCCGCTGTGTGCATGGTGACGAAAAGCTGCTACCCACCGCAGAGGTCTATCTAAAGGTGAGAGGTCAGACTTACTACTTGGAGGTTGGTGTAGCTGACAACCTACCTTTTCCTGTAGTCCTGGGGCAGGACCTGCCAGTACTGTGGGACTTATTGCAGCCACCATCCACCTGTAACATGGTTGTTACTCGAGCCCAGAGCCATATGAGAGACGAAAGTAAAGAGTTGCTTGCTACGCTACCATTCTTTGATGCAGAAATCAATGGCTCAACTAAACCTAGGAAATCCAGACGACAGAAACGGTTTGAGAAAATCCAATATAATGCTTCCGGAATGCCTGTTGATAAGTTTGCTGAATTCTCACCCAAATTTAAGCTGCCGGTCAACATTATGCAGATGCAACAAGAGGATGCCAGTCTTGTTCCTTATCTGGAGAGAGCAAAGCAGGAGGATGGAAAAACTGTTGATGGAGAGACAAAGGAAAGATTTTGTATGTACCAGGGTCTACTATATCGTCAGATGGGACAAGTGACACAACTGGTGGTACCACAGTGTGTCCGTGAAGTTATCCTTACTCTGGGTCACTCGATTCCTTGGGCTGGCCACCTGGGGAAACGTAAAACCATTGCCCGGATCAGAAAACACTTCTATTGGCCTGGTCTGAACTCAGAAGTAGCCCAGTACTGTAAAACCTCCCCTGAATGTCAAAAAGTGTCCTCTGACTGCCCAAGGCGGGTCCCTCTCCAACCACTGCCACTCATAGGCACTCCATTCGAACGACTGGGAATGGACATAGTTGGACCAGTGGAGAAAAGTCGTTCGGGTAACCGATTTATGCTTGTAGTGACTGACTATGCCACTAGGTATCCTGAAGTGTTTCCCTTAAGGTCAGTTAAGGCCAAGTACGTGGCTACCTGTCTAGTGCAACTGTTCTCCAGAGTTGGCTTTCCAAGTGAAATTCTAACCGATCAAGGGACTAATTTTATGTCGAATCTTCTGAAGCAGGTCTATAGGATGCTGGGCATCAAGAGTTTGAGAACCACTCCTTATCATCCCCAGACAGATGGGTTAACCGAAAGATTTAACCAGACGTTAAAGCAGATGCTACGCAAGTTTGTTGGTGAGTCTGGCACTGATTGGGATCAATGGCTCCCATATCTTCTGTTTGCCTACAGGGAAGTGCCACAAGCCTCCACTGGATTTTCCCCGTTTGAGTTGCTTTATGGTCATGAAGTCAAAGGTCCCTTAGCATTACTCCGAGAAGTTTGGGAGGGAAACCCACAGAGAAATGATGAAACTAATGTGGCATCCTATGTGATTCAGATGAGGGAACGTTTGCAAAAGATGTCTGCACTAGCTCAGTCTCATTTGGCAGAAGCTCAAACACGGCAGAAAACCTGGTACGATCAATCTGCTCGGGAGCGGCAGTTTAAGCCCGGTCAGAAGGTACTCGTGATGTTGCCCAGTCATGAAAGTAAGCTGCTTGCAAAATGGCAGGGGCCGTATGAAATTAAAAGGAAACTAGGTCCTACCACCTATGAAGTTGCTCTATTTGACCATGCTCATTCTACACGTACTCTGCATATAAATTTGCTTAAAGAATGGTTTCCTCGTCCTCCTGAATCTAGCCACAGCTTGATGATCCGGCAAGTCAAAGAAGAGGATGATTCTGAAGTATTTCTGCCTCAGTCAGCTCTAGGAGATGTGGATCTGAGTCACCTGTCCCCACAGCAACAGCATGAGGTGAGAGAAATTTGTTTACCAGAAGTCTTCTCAGAATACCCTGGCTTTACCACCTTGATTGAACATAATATTGAGTTGAAACCCGATGCTGTAGTTCGAAGAATGAGTTACAGGGTCCCTGAACGTCTCCAAGAAGCGCTGAAAGAGGAGGTGGATCTGATGCTGAGGCTGGGAATTATAGAACCCTCTAAAAGCGAATGGTGCCACCCTGTGGTCCTTGTTCCGAAAAAGGATGGGTCTATAAGGTTTTGTATAGACTTTCGTTACCTCAACTCCGTGACCAAGTTTGATGCTTACCCTACTCCACGAATCAGTGATCTCACTGATCGACTGGGCACCTCAAAGTTTCTAACCACCATTGATCTTTCAAAAGGTTATTGGCAGATTCCGTTGACTCCACAGTCCAGAGAACTCACTGCGTTTAAAACACCCTGGGGCCTATTCCATTTTAAGGTTCTAGCCTTTGGACTGCATGGGGCACCGGCCAGCTTCCAAAGACTAATGGACCAGGTACTGCGAGGACTACCATTTACAGCTGCTTATCTGGATGATATTGTGGTGTACAGTGACACATGGCAGCAACATCTGCAGCATCTCCAGGAAGTTCTGCAACGCCTTCAGGCAGCCGGCCTGACAGTTAACCCCCAAAAGTGTACCATTGCAAAGGCAGAGACAGAGTACTTGGGGTTTGTTATTGGTAAAGGGGTGCTCCGACCCCAGGTGGAGAAGGTACGGGCCATTGAAAAGTGTCCACAGCCACAAACCCGTAAGGAGTTAAGGTCCTTTTTGGGTATGGCTGGGTTTTATCACAGATTTATTCCCAACTTTTCTGGGCGGGCTGCAGTATTGACTGACATGGTTGGTTCAAGGAGTCCCAATCAGCTGAAGTGGACCCAAGAAACAGTGACATTCCCGAAGGGAGGGAGTATGTGATGGCCAGTGTGGTGGCCACACATTGAGAGTGAGGCATGCACACACACACACACACACACACACGTTATACTTATTCATTTAAGATTATTTATTGGTCACAATTTCAGTTATTGTGTTTATACATTTTCGTTTCATTCATATCTGATTTAAATAAGACTCATACACTTTCAGTTTCTCATTACCTTTCTTTATTTTCCCCAGTACATTTATTACTATTTTGGGTGCACACAAAATCGGTTATCTGTACTGTATGTTTTGTTAATTTAGTTTTCTTTTGAGTTTAAGTTACCGTGCTGCAGTGCCGACGAGGAACAGAGTTTCCTGGTGTGGTCCGCCCAAGTAAAGGTCCGACGTGCCGCGAGATGCCGTCTTTTGGTTCCGCCTGCAGATACCATTGGCTTAATGGCTTGGAGGGAGAGCTCATGTTTGGTTTAGGTTCAATAATGATTTACAATGTTTGTTTATTCAGATTTATATTTAGCTTTGCCTTATTTATAATTTATTTAACTTATATTTAGATTTGTATTTAGATGTTTGGCTTAGTTTATTGTATTTGTAAATTGTATGTTTTTGTCTCCCCCTTCTTGTTTAATGTGGACTAGTCCCTGTGCTATAAATGTGGTCTGTCTTGTCATTTCATGGAGTTCTGTTTTTGGTTTAGACATGATTTGTTTGGTTTGAACTCAGTTTGTTTTCCTTGTTTAGTTTATTGTTCTTTCAATTGATTTAATTATTTAATTAATTTATATTTGAACTTTTTGTGAACCTTTTTGACTTTATTAAAAATAATTATTTTTGAAAATCTTCTTTTTTGTATGCCCCTTACTGTACGTGCTGGCTCGGTCCCTCACAGCAACTTTCAGCATATGCAGATGATGTTATTGTTTTTATAACTAACACTGATGATGTAAGAAGACTGGAATGTATTATTAACAATTTTAAAAAGATTTCTTCTGCTAAAGTTAATTGGGAAAAAAGTGAAGCACTTCTCATAGGTGACTGGAAAAGAGACCCTCCCTTATTACCTGGAGGATTAAAATGGAAGAGGGGTTTTTTAAAATACCTTGGAGTTTACCTAGGTGAAAGTGACTTTGTTCAACAAAACTGGAACGGATTGCTTGAAAAAATTCAAAGTCGTTTACAGAAGTGGAAATGGTTGCTCCCACAACTTTCTTACAGAGGACGAACACTCATTATTAACAATTTGGTGAGTTCCTCTATGTGGCATAAACTTGCTTGTGTTGATCCACCTGCTGGACTCTTACCAAAAATTCAAGGAGAACTGGTCAACTTTTTTTGGGACAATTTGCACTGGACACCTCAAAGTGTTCTGTTTCTGCCAAGAGATGAAGGTGGCCAAGGGTTGGTGAATCTTGTGAGCAGGGGAGCCACATATAGACTACAATTTGTTCAGAAGTTGTTGTATGGGCCTGAAAATCTCGTGTGGAGGCCTTTAGCTCAATGCATCCTACGTGGAATAAATGGCTTGAATCTTCATGCGTCACTTTTTTTGACAGATAATGTGCATCTAGATCTGACTGGAATACCTTCTTTTTACAAAAGTATTTTTAAAGTATGGGGACTTTTTAAACATTCGCAGGCAGATTCAACAACATCTCTTTTCTGGCTGCTTGAAGAACCAGTACTTCTTGGCTGTCGCCTTGATGTAACAAAAGATGATACCCCAGGACTAAAAGAATTGCTTATTTCCAACAAAATGACCAAACTAAGAGACATTGTTGACAAGGCGGGTTTTGGACTAAGAGATGCAGAAAATGTTGCTTTATATATGGGAATTAGATCGGTGAGGTTTGTTACAAAATTTTTGAATGTTTTGAAAAGTTTTTTAAATGAAAAAGAAAAAAATTTAATTGAAGGTTACAGTCAAGGTATTATTTTCCCTAATGATCAAGATTGTTTCCCAGACATTAGACTTACACCTAAGATTGAAAATTCTGGGATTAATAGTCCATTGTTATGTTTTAAGGAAAATGGGAATGTTGATTTTAGTACAGTTAAAGGGAAAGTGCTTTATAAAAATATTGTGAAACTAAATAATAAGTGTACTTTAAAAGAGAGATCTGACACTGTGTGGAGAGATAAACTGTGTTTAGTAGAAGAAGAAAAACCAGAATGGAGAATATTGTATAAACCACCATTGAATAAAAGATCGGGGGATTTGCAGTGGAGAATTTTACACGGTGCTATAGCTGTTAATGCATTTGTGGCTAAAATAAATTCTAGTGTGAGTGATCAATGTCCGTTTTGTTTAGAAAGGGAAACAATTTTTCACTGTTTTATGTATTGTAAAAGACTTGCTCCTCTGTTTGATCTTTTAAATGTTTTAGTTTCTTTACTTGGTTTTTTATTTACGAAACAATGTTTTATATTAGGTTTTAAATATAAAAGACAAAACAAATATAAATGTCAATTATTGAATTTTATTTTTGGTCAAGCAAAATCAGCTATTTATATTACAAGAAAAAATGAAATAGAAAAGAGGAATGGTAAAAACATTGTAGTAGTTTTTAAAAACCTAGTAAAATCAAGAATTATTGTTGATTTTAATTACTATAAAATGATGAAAGCAATTAATGTGTTTAAAATTGAATGGTGTTGCGATGATGGCTTGTGTTCTGTCATTAATGAAGAGCTGTTTTTTACAAATGAATTGATTTGAGCTGTAAATCAATTGTTAAATAATTGCTTGTTAATAAAAGGATTTGTAAAATCAAAAAAAATCTCTCTCTCTCTCTCTCTCTCTCTCTCTCTCTCTCAATTCAATTTTCTTTTCGGATTAGTCCCTTTATTAATCAGGGGTCACCAGGTCACCACAGCGGAATGAACCGCCTCCTTTTTTTTACCTATAGGATGTCTTTCCAGCTGCAACCCAGTCCTGGAAAACATTCATACACTCTCATTCACACAGTTTAGCTTACCCAATTTACCTATACCACATGTCTTTGGACTGTGGGGGAAACCGGAGCACCCGGAGGATGTCCAAGCAAACACAGGGAAAACATGCAAACCCCACATAGAAATGCCAGCTGAGCCGAGGTTCGAACCAGCAACCCAGTGACATTCTTGCTGTGAGGCAACAGCACTACCTACTGCGCCACTGCATTGCAATAATAATAATAATAATAATAATAATAATAATAATATAAATCAAATAAAAATTCAAATAATTAATCAGAATAAATTGTACAATTAACAATCTACATTTATGGATAAAACAGTAATATTAAATAAAAATAATCAGTAAATTTACAATGATTAATTTGTTTGATCTAGATATCTGTCTCTCTACATACATACATACATACATACATACATACATACATACATACATACATACATACATACGTACAAACATACAAACATACATACATACATAAATAATGTAACAAAAATGTATTGAATAATAATAATAATAAATAAATTATATTATTATAATTTCTTTTTATATTATATTGCAATATTTTGCACAAAAATCATTAAGCAATACAGTAGGTATTTTAAATTGTTAATTATAGTTATTTATCAATCAACTTTTATTAAATTAAATAATAACCATAATTATATTATATTATATTATATTATATTATATTATATTATATTATATTATATTATATTATATTATAGTACTTTAGTTTAGGTGCGATGTGGTGGTGCAGTGGGTAGCGCTCACAGCAAAAGGTCGCTGGTTCGAGCCTTGGCTGGGTCAGTTAGCATTTCTGTGTAGAGTTTGCATGTTCTCCCCGTGTTCGCGTGGGTTTCCTCCGGGTGCTCCGGTTTCTCCCACAAGTCCCAAGACATGTGCTATAGGTATGAGTGTGTATGGATGTTTCCCAGTGATGGGTTGCAGCTGGAAGGACATCTGCTGCGTAAAACTCGCTGGATAAGTAAGCGATTCATTCCATTGTGGCGACCCCGGATTAATAAACGGACTGAGCCGAAAAGTTTCTTTGATTAAGTTCATTGTATTATATTGTATTTTATTTAGTATTTCATTGCCAAAACAATGTGTAATTGTCCTCAGCAGATGACCAGAGCAAGCTAATAAATTAAACATAATTCTTTGTTTTCAGTATAGAAGCTATTTATGTAACGTCCTTTTCATTTTAAAATTAGCATATAATTACCCATACAGAGCTTAACCTAAACTTTATGCGCTCTCTAACTTTCCTTAAACACACAACAAAGTGTCAGTTGGCATGAAAGTTCTTGTTCTGCGAGTACACTGGTTCATCTGTGTCACATGTCCTGGCATAGCCCTCTCCCGGGTGGACAGAGGGGATGCTGGGAGCCTGGTGCGGCCATGGAAATGAGCCCCATTCATCGCCGGCTCTGAGCATATGGCGCTGCTTTGTCCCCAGCTACTGAGGCAGAAGTGATGCAATTTGTTGGCATGTCCTGTCATTTCAGCAACTCCCCGGCCCTTCCTCGGCCCTCATAAACAACAACAGAGCAGAGAGCAGGTCTCACACGCTCACTCACACTGCTGCACTAATGACTGACGAGCAGAGAACATGCAGACCATGAGCAACTCTCTCGCTCGCTCGCTCACTCACTCCCTCGCTCAATGCTTTTGTGTGCTTTAGCAGCACAAGAGACAATGATTATGGTTTATTAAACATTATGCCATTATGGCTGAAATAATAGTTTATAAATGCAGTACAAATCAATCAATAGTGCTAAAATATATTATGTAATAAACTGTATACAGTGCTTAGCATAATTGAGTACACCCCATTTTGAAAATTTATATTTTTATTTATTTCTCAGTGAATATAGCCACTGTATTTTGGTGCATTTAAACAATACAGATTTATTAAACAGATATATTTATTAAAATAATATTTTAGTCACCAAACAGATTTATAAATTGAAGATAATACAAATATATTTAAGCAAAATGTTGCAAAATAAATTACAACCTACAGAATTTCAACAGAATTTTTACATTTTTTTGCTTCTCTTTATTTTTCCTCTTTTTAAAAACTATATTTAATGTTTTTCTACAACATATAAATTTGGCTGTACTAGTTTTTGGAACGTTATCCCAAGTTATTTTGTTAGATAAGCTCCAGATTTAATGTCAGTACTGACTAATCTAATGTATATGCACAAATATAATAGTGTATAGCTTTCCATTCAAAATCTGAATTTTAAAGATAGATTTGTGAGGGATGTATATATATATATATATATATATATATATATATATATATATATATATATATATATATATATATATATACAATATATATACACAGTCAAAGTCAGAATTATTAGCCCCCTGTTTATTTTTTCCCCAATTTCTGTTTAACAGAGATAATTTATTTTATATATTATTTCATTATTATTATTATATATAACGGAGATTTATTATTTCTAAACATAATAGTTTTAATAACTCATTTCTTATAACTTCTTTATTTTATCTTTGCCATGATGACTGTAAATAATATTTTACTA